AGAAAAGTACTTCTCTCACGAGGCTTCTAATGTAATGGGAAGTGACTGTGTTCTGGTTGCTAATTAAAACAGAGTTAGTAGAACCAATTGGGTCCTCTGGAGAAAGCCTATTTTTATTCCTAACCTAATGCTACAGCACCTTTGCAATTCCTAACATCAACTACTCATACCCAGAGACCTGGGAAACTGTCTTGGGGAAAGAGGCAGGAAGGGACCGGGTAAGATCATCTGATGTGATCTGGGGGAGGGAAGTGAGGACCAGGGCTTGTTTTCCATCTCAGTATCTACTGTGACTGCCACTATGTTATTAAACAGATCATCTTGTCCCTTTATGTCTCATCGTCTCTTCCTTAATATGTTTCCTGTTTTATCTTCTGTGATATCTCCCTCCCTGAGTTTTCACTATCTAGCTTGGGTCCAAGCACCCTCAGAGAGGATTTCAGCCTTCATGGTGGCTGGAGGGTCAGGGACAGGGAGGAATCTGAGTGTGGGGGACCTTGCGAAATGGTATATGTAAAACAGTTCCATTTGATGAATGAGCTGAGCATGTGTGTTTGGCCAAGCATGTGAGTCTGTGTGTCTATATATGTTGCTGTGCATGATGTATGAGCAAGGCTGTTCTCAGAAGAATGTACAGGTATGTACATTTATGTGAGATGCTGGTTTTGGAGTGTCCATGCTTCAGTGCCCTTTCTTTGGTGGGGAGAAAATTGAGAGTTGTATAATCCACTCATGAATGGGACAGCCCTACTTTCTTTCCCTTTCTTCTTTTCTTTTTCCACCTCAGCCTTTTGATAATTGAATCAGATTTCCTCAGCTCCTGAGCTGCTGCTACTCAAGGAACTTTTCCTTGATCTGGGAGCTGCACAGCACAATGACCATAAGCTCCCATTGCCTCCCATTTCCCTCATTTGCACAGATAGAGAAAATGAAGTTGGAATAGCATATGTTGAGCAAAATATGCCTAGATTTTAGCAAAGAGGTCAAGGTTGAGGTGAGGGCCTTGTGGTGAGGGCCTCACTCTCTGGCTCTCCCACTAATTTTTGAGTTAGATCTCATGAAAAACATCCAGAATGAGAAGATTGTCAGAGACGACTCAAGGCAGGAGGTGGGTTACCATAACCAGTATTCAAAGGATCCTTTGCCAGTTCTTTCTGATTTAGTGATCTCTGGGCTGCGGACTGGGAATGAGTGGCACAGCTGCAAAACCCTCTCCGTAGTGAAGGTGAGAGGCTAGAGGCTCTTACAGCTTTCTTCTCTCTACCTGTAAACCCTCTTCTGCCTGTACTCTAGGGATGTTTTCTTCTGATTCATCCACCTCCTGAGATAAGGCAAGAGACTCCCAGCCTTCTCCAGATAACTGTCCCGGAATAATAACTCTACTTGTGCCCCTCATCACTCCCCTTTGTTCTGAATTTTTTAGCATTTGATAGTAGAAAGGCCTTACCTAAAATATATAAGAATAGCAGCTCAAGTACCAGGAACAAGTCTGTTTCATAAGGAAAGGAGCAAGTTCTTCATCCCTGGAGGTGCTCATGAGCATCTTGGAAGCTACCTGCCAAGAATTCAGTACTCATTAATGGAAGACCGAGGGCAGCCCGATTTAAATCCCAGCTTTACAACTCACCAGCTGTGTGATCTCAGTCAAGTCACCTAAGATCTTTCAATCTGTTTTCTTATCTGTGAGCTGGAAAGAATGATTCTTACTTCACAGGCTACCATGAGGATTATTATGGGAGC